CAGAGATGATCAGGTGCTCTCAGCAGCACAGGACTCTCCTGTGGGAAAATGGACCCAGGGTAATAATGAGAAGGAAAATCCTCCAGTGATGGCTGATAGGAAGCCCTTGGCTGTCTGTCCCTGCCATCCAGGCAGGGCTCAGCTGAGTGGGCTCTGCTCCCACAGCACTGCTGGCTTCGATGGCACCAGGCACCAGGCTGCTCCTGTGCCCTGCAGTGACAATTCAAACACAGTTTTACATTTATGAGCTTATTTTTCCCAGCTCATAATGGCCAGATCCAGCCCAAATCGTCCAGATCCCACTTTCAAAGCACGTGAAATGTGCAGATTGTATCTGCAGATGAAACACTGCAGAAAGGCTGCAGGAAATGCTGGGACAGGCCCTGATGTGAAATCCCTCAGTCACCACCTTGCACAAACAGGGATGTCTGTCTGAGCACAGCCTTGGCTTTTGGTTCATGGTGAGGGATGAAAATCTGAAGAACTGTGGCTTTGTCTCAGGTTTTATTTTGAAATGAGCCTCAGCATCTCCCTACATCACACCAGTTATGACATAATAGAACAATTTTTCCCAATCAGGCTATTTTTTTTTTTACTAAATCCAGCACATAAAATACTGCAATTACAGTTTCTTTTTCATGTTTTGCTCCTGACATTTCTTCTGTCATCCTATTCTTTCAAAGAATACCAAGTATTCAGAGTAATTAAAATTCTGCAGGACTGGTCTTTTAACAAATAGAGATGGAAAGCAAGAGATTTCACAGGGAAAATATTTATTGCATTCAGAAGTAATGGAAACAATATCTGCTTTTGACCCCAGTAAGGCCTCTGAAATCCAATTCTCAGAAGAAAACCACAATCATAATAGAAAAGCCTTAATTCAGAAACATGAGTCTTCTGAACTAGGCACCAGAGCCCTCTGCTCATGCCATAACCATAGGTCAATGCCACTTAAAACAGACTCAGGAACTATTTAGAGGCAGGCAAAGGATGGATTTGGTCCATCTGTCATTTTAATCAGTCTTCCTTTGCTGTTGATGGAACCCTTGCTCCCAGCCCCCAGGGAGCCTCAGCACTGGTTGTCCCCACAGCTCTGTGGATGAGGTGGTGCCAGCCTGGCCTGAGCTGCCTCCAAATGACACCAAACCCTTTGGCTGCGTGGCAGGGTGGGTGGGTTTCATCTTCATCCTAATTGCAGTGAGGACTGGGTCGTCCATTGAAAATTTCTCTGGAGACTCATAAGTATTTCGTGTTAGATCTTTTAAACTTCTTCGAAATGCTTCAATTTCCCTGCCAAAAAAAAAAAAAAAAAAAAAAAAAAAAAAAAAAAAAAAAAAAAAAACAGGAGAATTATCCTAGTTTTTGATGAAATATTTCTCAGAGCCCAGTGTGCATGTGAGGATGAGGGAAGCCAGCCACACAGAATCCTGAGCTCCCCCACTGATCTGAGCTCTGCCTGTACGGGGTCAATGAGCTCCTCTCTCCCTCCTTCCTTCATTTCCTCTTGCTTCCACTAATGGTTTCTCTGCTCAAGCACTGGAGGCTGTTGCTGCTTTGCAGATTTCTGAATATTTCTCTGTCATTTGAGCTGCACCACTCGGTTTTTGCTCAGACCTTGAAGTTCTCCAGCATGTCATCTTGCCAGGCTCATTGATCTTACCCATTCCTTTTTTTTCCCATAGTCTTTCATTGGCAGCCCAAGAAAGTTTTAATCTAATTCCTGAACCCTGGCTTTATCTGACAGAAAGGACCAAGACACCATCCTTTATCCACCTCTGGTATGAATCTATAGCAAGTTCCAAGGAATAAGCAGCAAGTAAAGCCAGGTCTGAGTTCAGCCTGGTTCTTGTTTCCTTGCTGATTTCCTCTGATTTAGTGAGCAGAGGAGGGTGAGCAGCAAGAACAACCCAACCATTACCTGGATGGACAAGCAGCAATGTCAGGGTGCAGCCTGAGCAAGACCTGTGGTTCCACACCCCAAACCCAGCCCAGGGAATGGTCCCAGCTGCAGGAAGGTGAGATAAACCAGGGAGGAAAGGAGAGCTCCTTGGAGTGTCCTTTGAAGGTGGAAAACAGAAGCAAAAAGTGGGACAGCTGTGCCCAGGGTAATCTTTTCTAAAGCCTCCAGAGCCGTGGGCTGTGCCTTGTCCATCCTGGTTTTCCCCATGGACCCCTCCCAGGCTTGGAGCTGCTCCAGTCAGAGCTCTGACATGTGCCCAGGGCAGGTTTCAGTGCCAGGAGGTTCCTGGCAGAGAGCTGGAGCCCTTCTCCAAACACATCCAGCTGTCTGAGCAAGGGGAATTGAGCCATGAACCATCTCCTTGGGTGGTGGCACATCTGGTGGAGAATTACAGAGGGAAACATCTCCTGGTACAGGCTGTGGGCTGGGCTTTGAGAAGGGGCTGTTGTGAATCTCCAGGGATTCCAGAAGGAAGCACAGATGATAATTAATGCCTGGTTCAAAAGCAATTATACCAATCATGTTTTTAATTTAATCTCTGCAAAATTTGGGACTCTCAGAAAATGTAAATAAACAGCTCTAAAAATATTAACATCTCTCCTGTTGAGCACCCTCCCCAGATCCTGCCTAAACGAGCTCATTCCCAGCAGTGCTTGCCTGCCAGTCTTGGGCAGAATTTGCAGATATTCCTGGGAAATTCCCTCAGTCTTGTTCAGGAACTGCAGGGCTATTCATGGATATCCCCACAGGGAATAAGTTTCTCCCACTGCCCACCACACAGCAATCCACAGCAAACTGTCACCACATCCCAGTGTTCTGCCAGTGCCCCAACTGGGCCAAATTCCTGTTTGTTATGATGGTGGAAGATTCTACTTCTCAGTGACCTAAATCCCACCCTGATTCCCATGTGCATTTGGTGGGAGAATCTCCTGAAATACCAGTTTGTCCGTGTTCTTGCTGCAGAATCACTGAGGCTTCTCCCCTCAGTCAATCAAAAATGCCATTTTCCCCCATGTTTTTGAACTGTTACATACAAAAGGTTATATATATATCTGGACTCCATCCCATCCCATCCCATCCCACCCCATCCCATCCCATCCCATCCCATCCCATCCCACTCTCCAGGTGCTGTTGTAGGTCACAGTATTGAAGAGATGATCCAAAGGCTCTGGAGAAGCCACCTGAGACACCTTAGGAGGACTTGGCTTCCCAGGTCTCTGCTTTCCAGAATGCAGGACACAGACTTAGAGTTGTGTGGGTGACTTGGGCTGAATTTGCCTTTTTCTCTATAAAGCTGTGCTCCAGAGGATCTGAGACCCCTGCACAGCAGCACCAGAGGCACTGAGACTCCTTTTTTCCAGTTCCTTTAGGGTCATGTCCTGCCACATCCCAATTAACTGATGCCTTGAGATTTTAGCTTTTGTACTTTTCAAATCCTGTACTGCATCAGTGCATGACTCTAAACTCCATATAAAGTGTAGTTAACTGTCTTCACATTTTGGTCAGACAAAACAATCCTCCAAGAGATCCAAGGACACCCTACAGCCTCAAGTCCTGGAAAGTATAAACAAAAGTGAGCTGGGGGGAGCAAACTGGGGGTATCTGACTTTATTACCTGAAACTGTAATTGAAGGATTACAGGATTAATAACCCTGGATAATTAACCCCTGATATGCAAACTTATATCTGTCTGAAAAACCTGTGACTATCATGCATCTTGAGTGTAGCCTCTGACTTTTGACTTCCCAAGGTGTATCTGTCGAAGGCCTTTAATAAATACCCATTTTATTCCCTTAATCTTGTCCAGCCTCTGGTCCAGGTAGCCCCCAAGGCGTCCTAACAAGCTCCTGTTTCCCTGCAGGTTCAGCCCATACGAGTGGTACGATGCCCACCCCTGCAACCCGGGCTCTGACATCGTGGAGAACAATTTCACCCTCCTGAACAGCTTCTGGTTCGGGATGGGAGCGCTGATGCAGCAAGGTAGGGTGGTTCTCATCTGCTTTTAGGGCTTTTTAAGTTTGGGATTTGTGTTGGTTGCAACCTCCTGGCCCCTGTGGCTGTGAGCACCACTCAGGGTGCTCCAAGGAGGAGCAGTGCCTTCATCTCCCTCAGCTGCTTCATCCACCCACACCCCACAGACCCTGCGAATTCCTCTTTCTGTTAACTCAAACCACTTGCTCCGTTTCAGGATCTCTGACCTGGCTCTCTCTCTGCTCTAAATCAACTTTTCCAGCACACAGGGTGTCTTGCCCTCTGCTCCATCCCCATTTTTCCCCTCCCCTGGTCGTTCTGAGCAGTGTGAGATGCTCTGAACTGCCCCAGCCCAGTGCAAAGCTGAGGAGCTGCTCTGGGAGCCTCTGCCCAGCCCCTCAGCAGAGCTGTCAGTGTGAGCCACCACGGTCACAGGGACCTCAGCAATGGGATATGGATGGGATTACATTCCTGTGTGTGAATGGAATAGAGAGATGGAATGAATAGAATAAATCTGTTCAGAAGGCAGCAGGGGGGGAGCTTGGGAGCAGCTCTGAGTAAGGAACGAAATTCAGCTGTGATCTAATTGCAGAAAATCCAGGAATAGAAATAAGTGGAAAATGTCAAACATTTGTCACACTTTAATTTACCGTGTATCAGTGGTTATGCCCAGACAGCAAAGGAAGCACAGCCTGGGCTCCGTGGCAGGCACAGAGCTCCTGCTCCGAGCTCCACTGCTGCCTGTAATAGAGATTCCTCCAGGATCTCAGCTGCCCTCATGGACAGTGACAGCTCCCAGCAAGAGGGTTTAGCAGGATGAATCATCCCTCTTATCAGATGCTGATAAATGAAAAGAGCTATATTCTTTTTAACTCAATTCTGCATCTAAAGAAGAAAAATATTTCAAAGCCAGACTGATGTCACAGCATCCAATGCATCAAAGGGCCGGAGATGGAAGAGGGAAGAAGCAGGATCTTGAGGAGAACCAAAGCACCCTCGATATCCAGGACTCCTCCTCTCCTGGTGTCTCCTTGCTGCACTCCGAAGGGAGGAAAACTACACCCCATGCTCTGCTTTGATGCCACGCTGCCTAAAATTGCTTTGCAAAGCCCAATCTTTGTTGCACATTCCAGGCTGATAAATCCTCTGAGCACAGCTGTTTCAGACCCAAAGCTCTTGCCTGGCTTTAAAAGGTGTTTTGGGTGATTACAAAAATAGCACAACCCATTTAGCCCTTCATGTCTGCTCAATAAAAGTCATTTCAGACCCACTACACCTTTTATGCTGTAACATCTCCTGCTTCCCCACTTCTGACTGGCATTCAAAGCCCTGGACCCTGATAGTTCCTTTCTCTCGGTGTTTGATTTTTTTTTAAACCTTGTGTATTTGAACACGCTCCCCAGAGTGAGTCTTTTGAAAATAATCTGTATAAAAGCAAAGCCCTTTTTAAATGGCAGAACAAAACACTCATAAAAGTTCATAAATAACTTGCTATTTAAATCTCATAAAAGCAGCCCAGTTAATTACTTCAGTTTGGATGTTTCCTGTAAATTGGGCACTGTACCAGAGGTCAGTAATCAAGGAAGAGGGTTTTTCTGCAAATGCTACAAAAACCCCACTGATGTCCTCGCATGCAAGATGTCTGGATAATTTGCCTCAAAACCAGTTGGCTCTAATTGCATAGCTGTAACAGTTTTGACAGTGAAAACTGATCATACATATATATATGTATATAAAATGTACATATGGATACATAAAATGGGTTCTTTCCCTCTCTTTTCTCTCCCTTCCTTCCCCTCTCCCACCCCAGGCTCGGAGCTGATGCCCAAAGCCCTGTCTACACGGATCATTGGTGGCATATGGTGGTTCTTCACCCTCATTATCATCTCGTCCTACACAGCCAACCTTGCAGCCTTCCTGACAGTGGAGAGGATGGAATCCCCCATCGACTCTGCAGATGACTTGGCAAAGCAGACAAAAATAGAGTATGGAGCAGTGAAGGATGGAGCTACCATGACCTTCTTCAAGGTGAGACCAGGCAGAGGCTTTCTACCTTCCAGGCAGAGATGCCAGTGGGAGCCAGGACAAAGCTCCAAAGGCAGAAGGACTCCCAAGCCACCCCTGCTGCTCCTTTCAGTCTCACATCTTGCCCAGACTGAGATTGTTGCTCACCTGAGTCCCACCAAGGCTAAATCCCCCTCCCTGTTGTTAACTGAAGTCACAGTTTCAAAATTTAACTGATTTTACAGTTTTGCAGGCTCTACCTAATCTTGGCTCAGACACCCTACAACGTGGCATGTGCCAAAGTGCAGCTTGTATTAAAGCCCTGCAGAAAAATCTTACATTCCCTAAAGCACCTTCCAAATTCCCACACCTGACCCATCCTGCTTCTTCCTTGCCTCTGCCAGCACAGCCCCATGGAGCCCCCAGGCTGATCCAGCCAGCCTTCAGGGACAGAGGAGAGCCCAAATGAAACCCACAGCTGGACAGATGTTGCAAAGTGCCCTCCCTGACCAGTATTTTTTACAGCTGAAATACCTTTCTTGTCCTTCAGGTATTCATATCAATGTAATCCAGTTTTATTAACCTCTGAGATCCAGGGCAAGGTAACACTACCAGTGCATCACAATCCAATTGCATTAATTTCTTCTATTTAAAGTATAATTAAATTCAGAAGTCAGTCAGATTCCACCGTGGCTTCAAAAATAGAAAGAAACTGAGAGATGTAAAATGACCTTTAAAACCACTGCTGGCCTGTAAAAACCCAGTTTAAAAAGAGAGAGAATAAAGGGATAGAAATGAGGGGTGATTAAGGAATTATCCTCCTGGCAAGGAAAGGGGCCCAAAAGAAGATCCCAGGCTTTGGCTCAGGAATGGGAGCTGGCTCCCCCCCACCTCTGGCTCCTTCCCCCTCCAGCACCCGAATGCAGAAGGAAATGCATGTGACTGACACAGTTCAGGCTTGGCCATCAGCTTGTGCCTGGTGCTGCAAGATTGGAGCAGGCACAGGGTGGTGGCAGCTTGACAAGGCCTCAGTGGTTTAATTGGCAAGACTCATTAAAGGATTTTAATAATAGAGAGAGCATCGTTCCTGTGGAACTTCTCTTGGCTCTGATCTGGCTGAGGAGCCACTGTCCTCCCTGAATCTGTGTCCTGACTCTGACAGGCAGCAGCAGAGGTTGATAAAGAACCACAGAGGGCTTGGTTTGGTCTTTAATGATTCTGGGAATGCCCAGTTTGCCTCCTGCCATGGAGCTGGTCCATGGCACAGGCAGATGCATTAAAGCATGGTGGTGACTTCCAAAGCCATATAAACCTGGAACAGCCAGCAGGGAAAGGCAGGCTGTAACTGTGTGCTTTAACTGCTCTTCCCAATACAAGTTTTATATGGGAATAAAAGGAAACTGTCTCTTTTAACAATCATCAGGACACAGTATATTTATTGCTTCATATCATTATCCATCAGAATCGTACTTCAGGCTTCTAACGGCCCTGGCATGGTTTATTGATGCAGCGTATTTTCCTTTTCCTTTTTATTATCACTGTTGTATGGAGATGAATTCTCAGGAATGTCCCTTCTGACAAGCATTTCCATTACTGGAGCAGTGGGAGTGCCCACGTGGGATGCTCTGCTCACTTGTCCTTCGTGTACAGAGGGACGTGGGAGAGGCTGCCAGCTCCCAGCAAGGTCCTTGCAGGGTAATACCTGTGGTGGTTTTTGGTTCAGCTGCTCTGTCAATGCCACCTAGAACAGCACAGAGCTCCAGGTGTCAGCTGGATGTCCCTCAGATGGGTGGCACTGGAAGAACAGCACATGGCTCCCCTCCCCTTCCTCTGCTCTGTTCTGGGGGGCACCAGCAGAGACAGCCCACGCCAGCCTGGCTCTGGAAACATTCCTGCAGATCTGAACACACTGTCACTGCTGGCACAAAAGGCTGATGGCAGCACACAGTCAGGATCTCACCTGCTCCCTGCATTACCTGCTACACTTGGCCCAAATTGCTGCCTGGCTCTTTGTTTGGCTGTTCATAGCAGAGCCTCACTCCTTCCTTCCTCCCTGTTAAATCAGCTGCAAGCTGCACACACCAAACAACCCCGAGCACACCCTGCAGCCCCTCTGCCAGTGCCCATCCTGGTCCATGCTGGATCCCCCCAGGAATGCAGGAGGAGAGCAGCACCCTGGGGCTGATCTTGGGGAGCAATGGACAATGGGAGGAAGAGGAAGAGGAAGAGGAAGAGGAAGAGGAAGAGGAAGAGGAAGAGGAAGAGGAAGGCAGACGCCTTGCACGCAGTTCTATGGGATTGTTCCCGAAGCACTGAGCAGTTCTGTGTTCAGTGCAGAGCTCACCTGGGACACTGCAAAAGGTCACAATGGAACCAAGACCCCTCTGGGACAGCCCCACAGCGATGGATGCTGCTCCCACAAATTTTGGCCCCCTGCAGCAGAGCAAACCAGCTACAGCAAATGAGAAGAAGAGAGAGTTTTACCAATCAAAATATTGGCAGATTTTGACTTCATGAAAAGAACTTTTGAGAAGTTGTTTACTCCCTGGCAATGCAGATTGAAACACAGATCAATTAATTTAGGAACAGCATGTAGAGTTCATTATAACTCATAAATCCTTCCCATCCTGCAGAGGATGCTGCCTCTCTGAATGCAAGGCCAGGTCTCACGTGCAGTTTGGAGTCTGGGTGTGAGTGTGTGTATGTGTGTACACAGACACTCACTCACACAGAAATGTTAAATCCTCAAGACTAAGTATCTTCAGTTGGTGGAAATCAATTTATTTTTTTCATAGAGGCTGGAATTGAAAATCTTAAGCCTGAAAGTTCCTTTCTTGCCAATTTGGCTGATAAAAAAGCGTATATTCTTGGCAAGATGCCTGGTAGGGGCTCCTCTAAACGATTCCATTAATTGATTTGGGTGGCTGGCCCTGCAGAACTGCTTATTAAAGGTGGCTGCTGAGCTGTGACTCTGAAGAATGAACTCGGAGGCGTTCTCGGTGTTGCTGCGTTTGGAGGGGCTGGCGCTCAGCTTTCACACACACATCTCATTTAGCACTAACACAGGGTGATTAAGATGCAGAGCACAGCAGACCAGATTCTGGTGCTGTTTATCCTGAACAAATCAAGGAGAAGCTCCACTCTCGTGAGTTGAAGGGAGAGATGTGGGCAGGAGTGAGACTCGACCCCACCGTGTGAGCCATGGCTGCTGCACCAGCCCCTGATAATTAGCAATATCTCCATCATTCCTAATGTCTCCTGACATGGGAAATTCTCTGCCAGGAAGAAGCCAGTGTCAGACCATTTATCTTCATGCTTCAGAGCACCCAAGCAGCTCCTCTTCATCTACCTTTGGCAGCAAAGTTGTCACTGAGGGGGACATGGGGACCCTCTGGGGGATGTGGGGGCACAGGAGGGTCCCTTTACCCACAACCAACCGAGATATGCTTCTTCTAAGAAGCCCATAAAAGTAGATGATGAATCTCTTGAGAAGAAATTTGCACTCAGCCACAGCACAGCAAATCCCAGATCAGACCAGTAACTAACCTCAGCAAGGATTTTTTAAGGTAAAAAATGGTAAAATCAGGGGTCCAGCAAAACAAAGTGTACACACAAATAGAGAACAAAAAAAAAATCAGCAAAATAAACACAATTTAAGGCATTCTTTATTACTAAATTACTACTAAGATGGTTTTGCTTATTTCAATAAGCAATGCCTTTGCAGTGTGGCCAAGTATCTGAGAGGAGGAAGGGGAGAAATGAACTTTTCCTTCAACTACAAAACATGTTCTGTGCTTAACTGGGTGTGAGCTGGAGCAGGGACTCTCCTGCCCTCGCTGCTGCTGCGATTTGGGACCATGACTGACATCCCTCTCACTGCTGCTTCCAGGATTTTAGCAAACAATCAGCCTGTGAGGGCTGTGCTGGCAATTACAGCTGGGGAATTTCCCCTTGGAAAAGTAGTGTTCTTATTCGGTTTTAGAGCCTGAGACTGCCTTGAGTAGGGCTGTGAGCTGGTCCTCCTGGAGGGATCCCAGCTCATGTTCCCTGCCAGGTCTCAGACCTGTGCCCTGCTCTCTGTCCCTGCTCTCTGTCCCTGCTCTCTGTCCCTGTTCTCTGTCCCTGCTCTCTGTCCCTGCTCTCTGTCCCTGCTGCTCATTAGGCACAAGGAGCAGTGAGCAGCAGCTCCATCCTCCTGGCCAGCCCTTGCCCAGGGGTGCCCCAGCTGGAGCAGTGCTGGACCCCTGGCAGGGCCAGAGCTGGGCTCACAGCAGCACAGCCAGCACTGACAAATCTGGGCTCTTCCTGGAATCACAATTAAGTGCTTTCAAGCTGGTCAGGAGCAGTGATTTAAGAGAAGAAGAGAAATGTGGTTTTTCTCTTCCATGGAGCCCTGTCTCTTGTAATTTCAGTTGCCTGAAGAGGTCCAGTGCCTCATGCAAGTCCCATTTGCTTCACTAAATGCAGCCTATTGATTTTTTGCCAGTTTATTTTGCTCTGTGCTCTAAACTGGGAGAACACTGATGTTAAAAACTCTGTGTCAACACCCAAAGAGCATTAAATGCATAAAGAGAAGAAGAGAGAAGGAGAGCCAAGGAACCCAGAGGCCTCTGATGTGAACTGTATAAATGTTAAACAAGTCCTTATCAGCCAGCTGAGCACACGATTCATTTCAATTACACATTGTAATGTACAGATATTTAATAATCCTTTTGGAGGCTACATCTCTTGCTGCTCTTTGAGGTTTGATAGATGCCACAAATCTACCTTACAGGCACTAGTCCAGATTTTCAAGCGAGGGAGATAATCCTGCCTCTTGAATGAAGTTTGCTCCAGCACATCCACTGCTGAGCATTCATCAAGTGGATTATAACGAGCACGAGGTTTAATGGAGAAGAAATGAATCCTTGGGTATTTCAGTGAGGAGAAGGGTTAAAGGCAGAGGAATAGCCTTTGTTTGAGCAGCACTGCATTACCCAGCTTTGGAGTGATGAGCTTTTGTTTAACTTTTGCTAAACACGCTGGAATAAAGGAGGTGGATGGGCAAAGCATTTGGAATACGAAGCATTACAAGGGACTTTCAGCTACCTCACCATAATTTATGATGGTTTTACCAGAAGAACCTGTGCTGGCACATTTTGGGTGATGCTGAATAAATGAGGGGGAGCTGTGGCAGCAGCAGTTGGGCTGGGCTGGGGCTCCATCTCCTGCTTCCTCCTGGAAGGACAGAGACCTGTGGAGACATAAACGGCAGCTGAAGCCACAGCTCTGCTGCAGCGACTCCTGCAGCAGCAGCTGCTGAGAGGCCACCCTTGTTCCAGGCACAGCACAGGGACTTTCCTGCCCTCTGACCCACCAGCCAGCTCCAGGCTCGCCCAGGAGCACAGTGGAGGAAGAGGTTTGGCTGGCTGAGCTGCCTCTTACGAAATAAGAAGGCAAAAACAGATCTAGGAAAAACAAGAAATTGGGCAGAAAAGAAGAATGGTGCATAAAGGAGCTGGCAGCAGTGGGAACACAAGGCTCGATACCAAAGTGCTGTTCCAGGGCTGGTCTGAGGGAGAAGCTCTGAGCCACAGGAGCACTGGGGAGCACAGGGGCAAGAGGACACAGCTCTGCCTGTCTGGGAATTCTTCCTGAACTAAAGCCAGCTCTGACCAGCAGTCCAGTCTAGTGGAAGTCCCTTCCCATGGCAGGGGGAGGAACAGGATGAACTTCAAGGTCTTTCCTAGCCCAAACCATTCTGGGATTCTGTGATTCTGTGACTTCTGTGATGACTGACAGAGACAACTCAGAAGGTGCTCGTAGATAAATGGTATTTTTCAAATGTTATGGCAAGATGTAAAATAACCATATTTCTTCTCACTCAACACATTTTCTAGAAGAAAAAAAAAACATTCACATGAATAGCAAGCTAGAAAACATATTCCTTCCTTTGCAACAGAATGTCTGCTGATAGTGAAAGAATATCCATGTTTATTTTTAGCCCTAAGACAATCTTCTTGAATATCTCTGTGTGTCTGTTTACGTGGGTACGTTAAATCTGTTTGGCAATTGCACATATCTCAGAGGAGACATGTTTCCTTGCCATGCTTGAGGAAAGACAGAAATATCATAGAGTGCGTGTAGAGAAAACCACATCCTCCAAAAGTCCCTTTGTTCTCTCTGCACGCAGAAACATTACAGGGTAAACAAATCCTGCTTAGGAAGTGAACACATTTAAGCAGATCTGCCAAAGGCCTGGGAGATGAGGGGGCCTGCAGGGCTTTGGGCAGGGTCTCAGCTCCACCTCAGGACCTGAAGCATGTGCACAGTGGGATGTTTGCTGCAACCCTTGTCTGTGAGGTTTTGGGGAACCTCCGGGTGCCTCCTGGGCACCCACACTGTCGGGCTTATTCTCTTTTTGTGTAAAAAGCGAGGCAGCTAATAGTTGCTATAAAGTTATTTATTGCAGAAGCACATCAGTCTCAAAAGTAAAAACAAAGTAAAGTAATGGCATAAAGCAATGGCATAAAGCAATGGCAAAACTGCAGTGGCAAAATGCAATGGCAAAATGCACATGGCATAAAGCCATGGCATAGAGCCCCAGCTCTCCCTGATGCATGTTCTTTTATAGAAACTTTCCAGCTAGCTAAGACACAAACTCTGACCACTGCTTCTTAACCTATTAGAATTCTGGGTTTTTAGCACACTAGACTACGTATAGACTCTGTTCATGGTCTATCTTGTTCTAACTGAAAAATGTAAGCAATATTCTTAACTCTATTATGTCTGAAGCCAGGTTCTTGGAGCCTTTAAGGAAACACTAGTATGTTTTTCAACTTTCACTAGGACATGTACTACTTCTCAGGCATCTAAGGCTTTTTGCTTACTAAAAGCACTTTAAACTTATTCTATTTACTTACTTATTTACTTCATCTATTCACTTATTCATTCTATTTAAAGACTTTAATTTAATCCCTGCACTCTGATTTCTCTCTGAAGAAATCAGAGAGACTTTTGACTTACTGACTCCAACACTTGTCTCTCCTTAAGGCAACATAAGTCCAAACAATGTTGGGCAGGGAAGGCATTTATGACATAGTCAAATTCATGGTCGCTCCATTGTGTGATCTGTTCTCAACTACTGTTATTATTAACTAAAAAGATACCAGCTTTCAGCAAATGGAGAATTCATTCTTATTTTGGGGCTGGGGGTGGGGGGGTGTCGTTCTTCCAGAAATCCAAAATTTCCACGTTTGAAAAAATGTGGGCTTTCATGAGCAGCAAACCCACGGCTCTGGTTAAAAACAACGAGGAGGGGATCCAGCGAACGCTGACGGCCGATTACGCGCTGCTGATGGAGTCCACCACCATCGAGTACATCACCCAGAGGAACTGCAACCTCACCCAGATCGGGGGGCTCATCGACACCAAGGGCTACGGCATTGGCACACCCATGGGTAAGTGCCTGGGGGAAGAATGGTTTGTGAGGTCAGGGCAGGAGGATCTTTCCCAGTGAATTACGGCTCCACTGATGGCTGAGCAGGGGAAACGGCCTTGCCTGCCCAAAGAGGATGGGGTTATAAAAGAGGGGGGCAGCTAGATGGGAGTAAGTTGTAGTTGGAGCTTGAGACCCAGAGCCTGCTGCAGTTTGGGATGGGGACTGCTGTGGTTTGGGATGGGGACTGCTGTGGTTTGGGATGGAGCCTGCTGTGGTTTGGGATGGAGTCTCCTGCAGTTTGGGATGGAGTCTCCTGCAGTTTGGGATGGAGCCTGCTGCAGTTTGGGATGGAGTCTGCTGCAGTTTGGGATGGAGTCTGCTGCAGTTTGGGATGGGGACTGCTGCAGTTTTGGATGGAGCCTGCTGCAGTTTGGGATGGAGCCTGCTGTGGTTTGGGATGGAGCCTGCTGTGGTTTGGGATGGAGCCTGCTGCAGTTTGGGATGGAGCCTGCTGCAGTTTGGGATGGAGTCTCCTGCGGTTTGGGATGGAGTCTCCTGCAGTTTCTGCAGTTTGGGATGGAGTCTGCTGTGAGGAAGAAGGGACATGTGGTCATGCAAGGGACAGATAAGGTCAGAAGATGCTGTGTGAGGGACAGACAGGGTTAGGGGGTCGCATAAGGGACAGATTGGGGTTTAGCCAGTCATGCAGAAGGAAGAAGGAAACTTGCAGAAAGGAGAGGAGAGGAGTCAGTGCTGTGTGAAGCAGCTAATGAGGGAAGGAGTCAGAGTTGCCTGGAAGAAGGCATGTAAATTTTTAAATAAAAGACTGGTGTTGATGCCAGTTGTGTCCATCTTGACATATTTGCTACAAGTGGCAGTTCTGGAGGTACCCCAAGTGGGGCTGGTTACCACAAACACAACAGAGGTTATTAAGATAATCCACTCCCAGCAGCAAATTTCCAAATACCAAGCTTTACACAGTCTGCCTGCTGAAGAGAGGATCTGAACTGCTCTGCTCAATACAGGCACCTCCCCTGCTTGCTGGGATTTTTATCCCTCTGTGTATAACGATGTTCCCATCCCCAGGGTCACCGTACAGGGACAAGATCACCATTGCCATCCTGCAGCTGCAGGAGGAGGACAAGCTCCACGTCATGAAGGAGAAGTGGTGGCGGGGGAATGGCTGCCCTGAGGATGAGAACAAGGAGGCCAGTGCTCTGGGCATCCAGAACATCGGAGGGATCTTCATTGTGCTGGCAGCAGGCCTGGTGCTGTCTGTCTTCGTGGCCATGGTGGAGTTCATCTACAAGCTGCGCAAGACGGCGGAGCGAGAGCAGGTACTGAGAGATTGCCCCTGACTGCCTGCACTCCCCTTAGCCCAGCCAGGGAGGGCTTTGCACACTGACCCTAGAGACGGGCAGGGAGGGGGCAGAGGGATCCAGCCTAAAGCACCATCCCCAGAGGCTCACTGGTCTGTCCCTCTGACGGGCTCCACTCGGGGGAAAGGCACGTCTGCTCTGATCAGGGTCATCTGCTGCTGCAGCAGCCACACCAGGACACATTGCTAGGGTAGTTTACTGACAAATAAAACATTAAATATAGACAGAGGTCCCTAGGAGGGGTCTTTCCCAACTGTTACATCCACTTGAAATCACCTTGCACGTTCCAGGTGTGACTATCCATGCCTTCTCCCCAGTCCCATTCAAAGAGGAACAGGGGCTCTCCAGGAAGCCTCACACTGCCTTGTCAGCTCTGCCACACTCACAAACGCTGCCCATCAGTGGCTGATCAGTGTTCAGGAAACAACAGATCTGCTTTTATGTTCTTCCTTTTCCCTGGGTGTCCCAGTGCAGTAAGTGGAACATGCACTTTTGTGCATGACCAGAAATCAAAGCGAGCTGCCCTCGTGATGGAGCAGACAGAGAAAGGAAAGCTGCCCAGTTACAGGAGGGTCTGACCCATCCCAGCCCCCTGCAGGGATCACAGCACCAGCACTGCCTCCAGCTCTGCCTTTGTGCAGGATTTAGCATGTCACAGGTACAGTCCCTGCCCAGGGAGAGGGGTCAGCCAGGTGCTCACACAGCCCTGCAGAGCACAGCCAATGCCTGAAACAGCCCCAGACCTCATGGTCACCCTCTGCTGAGCCCTTCCAGCCCAGAACACTGCAGCAGTAACACAGCATTTTGTCCCTGATGCCTTGGAGTTACCTAAAACAGAGGCTAGACAAGATTAAGAGAATAAAAGCAGGTATTTGTTGAGGGCCTTCAATAGATACATCTTGGGCAGTCAAAAGCCTCTGAGGGGTTACACCCAAGTTGGAAGATAGTCACGAGTTTTTCAGACAGATATAAGTTTGGTCCATTTATGTATCAGGGGTTAATCCCCCAATTACAGCTTCAGTTAATGAAGTAATATCTCTCCAGTTTTCTCCCCCCACCCAACTCACTTTTGTTTATACTTTTTGGGGCCTGAGACAGTGAGGTGTCCTTGAGTCCCAGGCCTGGAGAGGAATTATTTTGTCTGAATAAAAATGGGAGAACAGCAGCAGACAGGCTACGGAGCTTTACAGTTACACGCCAAAGAATTGCAGGATTACAAATAGATGAAAAATATAAAAGCTGGAATCCTAAGGCATCATCCCCTGTGTCCCCAGCGCTCCTTCTGCAGTGCCATGGCTGATGAGATCCGGCTGTCCCTCACCTGCCAGCGCCGGGTCAAGCACAAGCCCCAGCCCCCCGTGATGGTGAAGACGGACGCTGTGATCAACATGCACACCTTCAACGACCGACGGCTGCCCGGCAAGGACAACATGACCTGCAGCACTGGATTGGCACCCGTGTTCCCCTAGGGAATGGCACTGGGAGGGGTGGGAGGGAAGGAATTGCGGCAGACAAGGCTGGATGCACCCTTAACTAGGGAAGAATAGATTAAAAAAGAAACAAGAAAAAGAAAAAAAAAAAAAAAAAAAAAAAAAAGCCTGGTTTGTTCATTTCAAGAACAAGGCCTTTGCAATGCAGCTGCATCCATCACCGCAGAGGAGCCAGAACTTCCAAGCACGGACTTGTGGGTCTTGGGGCTTTTTGCGTTT